TGTTTTTTTTTTTTTTTCCCCTTGACTCTTTTTATGATGTGTCCTTTAAAGCTTAAGAGGCCTTCAGAGTGGCAAGTAGTAGGATGGGTGATTTTTGCTTCTGCTAAGGAATCTCAGGGTGATTGTTCTAGGGATATTTGTGGTAACCCTTCATAATTTAACTGAATGGGAAGAAACAAAGTCTTTAGTTTGATATATCTCTAATGCAACTGCCAGAAAAAAACCCCAAACTTTTTAAAAGTAGTATATATATAATAAAATTAACATAAATAGAATATTCACGTTTTTTTGATGCTACTGTTGTTTTACAAAGCAACTTAAAACTTACTCTTCTAGTTTATTATTATCCTTTGTAGGTCATGAATCAAGTTTGGTTTTGTTTTTTTTTCCCCAAGTTCTCTCTACTTTTATTCATGTATTTTAGTCTTAGAGTACTAAGCACTCAAGTACTATGCTGAAAACATCGTTGGATTTCAGACTAAAAGTTTTTATTAACTCTATCCCAGCCGAAACCAGGACAGGAATGAATTCAAGTGTACGTGTACAATGTTTCCTTCACTCCAGCCACCTCAATTTCATGTAAAAGTTTGCACACTGCTTTTCTACAGGAACCTGTCTTTAATAAGAAAAAATACTGCTGCTCACATGGACCAAGCTTTTCAATTTTTGTTTCCCCTTTCCTCCTACACATGTTCTTTATTTGTAACTTGGCCTCATTCTTTATTTACTGAGCACTGCCTCCGGCTGCATCCAAAGATAGAATTCTGAGGTTTTTATAAAGCTTTCAGTTACGATGGTGACGTCCTAAATATTAATTTTCATAATTGCTTTCTGAGATGAGGAGGTAAACGTGCTGGGGGAAAGATAAGGAAGAATAAACGCTTTCAAAACTTTAATACAAATCTTGTGAAATGAAGATTGTTGCAGAAATTAAGGTCAGATGTAGAGATGACTGAAATAAATTCTGGCTTCTTTTGGAACCTTTGATGTAAAATCAGATTTGAATGAAAAACCCCTCAATTTCTGAAAATGAGAAGCTAATTCCATGTTTCTAGGCACACCACAGTTAATACTAATTCTCTTGCGATAAAATATAAAGTTTCAATATAAAATTAGAAGCCAGATGCCTGTCTCTTCACTGTGAAATTCACATTTTTACAAAATGTTTGAAGTTCAAGTATTGCTTGTATTATTACTTTTAAAAGCAGATTTCTAGGAAGATTTTCCATTAACTTCGATCAAAGGTATCCAGTCTTCATTCTCTCTGCTCCATGCAACTCATGTCACTGCACTTTTGCAGTTCTGACAAAGTATTACATTTCCATATCAAAGTGAGCATTTATGAAAGATATGGGTGAAGTGAGGTTTTTTGGCTTCGGATGGTAAAGACAGTATTAGAACTCAACCCTCTGCACCCGCGTGCACACGGTGTAAACTGCCAGCCTTCCCCTCATCTCCGTGCTGCATTCACAGCACAGTTTCCAGTGATGTCAGCAGCACACCAGGCTTTCTTCACTACCACAAATTCCTTTGAGTCCCCAGAGCAGGTTCCCCCTATGCTAATGCTGGGAAAATGGTATGTATTGAAATAGATTAATAGTATTTACTGGGGTATCTGAAGTAGGATTTCAGAGAGGATATTAATACAGTCACTTCTCTTCCTCCCCCAGTAGGTTATGGTTACATTCTAGAATGTTTTAATTCTTTTTGTAATTCTGTATCTTAAGAAGCCATTACATGGGGAGCCTGTACACTTGGAAGGGACCTTGGCAAAGCTGAAACCTCTTCAGTGGTCTCACCAGTTTCTGCCTACTTAACTAAGGAGATGAGTAATAGCAAAAGAAGGTTGATTGGGTTTTGGACAAGATCTTCATTGAGGCGGTTGACGCACTTTCCATGTGTCCTTGTACTTCTTGAAAACAGAAAATGATGGTGTGAAATAGGTGTTGACTGGGTGCATGCTTCCTCTTTCTTGGTCCATGTAAAATTTTAGTGTCAAGAGGAAGGTTTACAAGCATCAAAGTGTTTTCAAAATGTCATTTTGTAGTTATGTATCAAAAAAAAAATCAATTTCATGAAAAAAGTCATATGCTTTTACTCATTTTGCATTATTCACACTAAAACTTCTGTTTCAGATTCGTGATTCCAACTGTAACTATGAGGCCTTTATGAATATTATTAAATTAAGTGATAATATAGGAGAGTTGGAAGCAGTGAAAGATAAAGCAAGTGAAGAACTGCAGTATCTTCGATCTCTAGATACAGCAGGAGATGGTTAGTGCTGTATTGTTTTCCAAATATGAAATGCATTTTCCAGCATGATCTCTGAAGAATATTGCAAAATTTTAGAAAATAAGAACTCTGATGCAGCACAGTATAAAATATATTTTGTTATTTAAAAATAAATAAATATGTGAAGTGTTAAAACTTGAATCTTCATGTGTTTGTGTGCTTGGTTTGTTGGGTTTTTTTAAATATAGACTAATTGGTTAGGTATGTAAACTTCCACTGAATTGAAACTTGCCTGACTGGTCTGAATTTCACTAATACTTCACGTATTAATGGATAGTCAGTTAACAGTTAATCTGAAAAAGGAAAGAGAAGAATATTTCTTCTTATTCACTTCTATCAGTAAGGTATTTAAACTGAAAAAAACCCCCATTCTCTTCAAAGCAGGTGTGTTTTGTAAGTCATATGTCACTTCTTGTATGATATTCTTAGAGCATTTCAGAAGAAGAGTTTATTTACTCATCTGCATTGCTTAATCCTCTTTGTTTTTTGCTTACAGATATCAACACTATAAAAAATCAAATAAACAGTTTATTATATGTTATTAAAGTATGTGATTCAAGAATTCAGAGGTTGCAGTCAGGAAAAGTAAGTGTTTTAGAAATTTTTTTTGTCCTGAAAGTGGAACTGCGAATGACTTACTATTTCAGTCTAGTTATTTAATTCTTGCATTTTGAAACACGATGTGAAGTATGCAGTTATAGGAATACATTATACAACTGAAGTTAGTATTGTATTTGCAGTTTAAATACAGAAAGAATTTCTAAAGATTCACATGTTTACTGTTTCTTGGATTCTGGCTTTAGCAGTTTAGATATGTCATTACATCTTGAAACTACTCTTACTTTCTCAATACAAGAGTTAAACCAAAATGTTACGTAGATGCAAAGTGTCTTTGTATTTACACACCTAGATTCAGTTCTTTTTTGCTGCTGCAGTGCATACCTTGTGTGCCTTGAGCTTCATCTTTGGCAAAGATCACTTCGGTACCACTTGCTGATTATTTTGCAATGCCTTGTAGACTGCATGTGTTGCCTTTTGTCAGACATGTTTACCTCTAGTTAAGAAAAGCCTAAGGCGAACTAGATATTAAATTTGAGAACCTCACGTAGTTCTGTTTGCTTGTTTTATATTGTTTTATATTTTGTTTTATATTTTAAGGCTGACAGAGTCAATATGTTTGACTTTGCTTAGTTTCTTGACTCCCTTAATTAGACCTAAATGTGGCTCCAAGATAGTATAATCTTGTGCATATTGACTGTTAAAATGTTTAAGTGTTCTGCTACTGGATCTGGAAGCGTTACTGTGATACCAAGAAATGTCATATTAACAGAAGAAAGTTGTGCAGAGATGAATTTCAGTTGTGGTGACCTGCACCCATCAAATGCTGAAATTAGTTCATCTTGTTAATTCATTTTCATGTGACGGTCACTGTTGTTGAGGGATTTGGGGTTATTGACCTGTATAGTATTACGTGATCGGCAGTGTTAAAAGCCAGCCTCACATGCAGCAGAAATCATTTATGTTGAAGGCAAATAGCTAGGCGAACATGACCTTATGATCTAGATCTTCACTAATTAGTGATTATGAAAATAACCGTTGAGAGGCTGCTTTATTATCTGTAATGTAAATTATTTTCTATTACCTCTGCTTTGTGGTAAGCAGAAATTTTAAAAGCTAATTTAAAAAATAAAGCCTATAAACACACTGAACTGTGTCTTACAGGAAATAGATACTGTGAAACTGGCAGCAAACTTTGGAAAACTTTGCACAGTCCCTCTGGACCATATTCTGGTAGACAATGTTGCACTACAATTTTTTATGGGTAAGTGTTAATTTATCTGATATCTCTTATTTATAAAGAATATGCTAACTCACAGGACTGTACGCTTGAAATCGCTTCTTCTAAGATGCACAACAATAACTATAGTTTTGTGGTGGCTGTTTTCTGTAGATTACATGCAGCAGACTGGTGGCCAAGCACATCTGTTCTTCTGGATGACAGTGGAAGGATACAGGGTTACAGCACAGCAACAGCTGGAGGTACTTCAAAGCCGGCAGAAAGATGGAAAACATCAGACTAATCAAACCAAGGGTCTATTAAGAGCAGCTGCATTTGGAGTTTATGAGCAGTATTTATCAGAAAAGGTAAGAACTTATTTCTGCATTGTTTGGAATTTATTCTTTGTACAGATGCTGCTTTGGTAGTTATGACTACATTAATATGAAATAGATGTGATGTAGCACAAGTGTTTACAAGTTGACATTTAAGCTATTACTTGTGTATCTTTTCTCTCCTTATATCAAGCAGTGAGAAAAATGACTTCTTTTTCTTCTCTTTTTTTTTTCCATCCTCTCAATTTAAAAAGGTTCATACTGGCACTACTGTCCTGTCAAATGTACTTAATGTGGTCCTCGGAAGCTGGCTTTCTAGAATAACAGAGAGAAACTACAGAAAATGTGAAGACAGAACAAGAAATTTTGTCCTTTCCTTTTATCCTGCCCTGCTCTGCCACCCCACCCCCCAAGAAATGTTTTCAAAAAGATGCAACCTAATAGCTGTACAAACTTGGATTAAGATTGGGTTTTCAAATGAAATACCTTCCTGTGCCTCTCTATGTATAAGTTGCTCAAATGTCACTGTTGGGTATCTTTCAATAGGCTAATCTTCAATGCTTCTGGTAGTCTTGTAATAATGGAGTCTTCTGTGAAAGAAACCACCAGTCAACTTGTTAACAAAGCATCTTTTTCTGAATTTGTATGTGCATAAAAATCACCTTTCAACTCACTCAAAAGTTTCCCTTAACAAATTATCCCTCAAATCTCTTGTAATGCTTCTTTTTCCACATCATTTCTTTCACTTCGGTTTTTCACCTCAATAGTCTATCGACATGTTGGTCTTTAGACTGTGCAGAGCTTGCTCTGGATTTTTGAGCTGACTGAATGCTCACCAGTTTGAAGTCAGAAGCCACCTAACACCAGAGCTATTCCAAAGCCGATAAACTCAGCTTCTTAGCTGTACTTAGTAGATCAAGTGAGCTATGTTGCATCTGGTTTAGTGCTGGCTCCCTCTCTGTTACAGAAAATGGGGAAAGTGTGTGAACTTGGGCCCATATAAAAGAATGCTTAATGGGCAGTGGTTTGAAATATTTCATACGAAGGGGTGACTGGGAATCTGATGGCTGATATAGTTAGTATGCTGGTAGCTGTAATAGAGTCTGCATAAAAAGCTACCATGATTACAGCTGCTGTTAATCTCTTCAGAAACTAGCAGAGTTGACAGACTGTTAGTCTTTCCTCAGATGCTCCAGGACTTCATGCACTTCCTTTCTTACTAGCTTGTTCTTCATTTCTGAATCTAGATCTTTCTGTTTATAAATAAATCTTGAGTTTTAAGTCTGAGTAAATCTGGTTTAGATAATTGCTTCAAAATAATGTGCATAAATTGGTTTTCAGGTGATTCTTAGTATTTAATCCTGAAACTTCTGAGTTCATATTAAAACTCTGAAAATTTTCAGGGGAGGAGGGAGTTTGACTCCTGTTGTGCGCTCTAGGCAGTTCTAGAGCTAGAAGTATCCATTAAGAAGAAATGTAGTTTGCTTAGAGAATTTCAGAATTGTATTGAATTTTATTTGTGAAAATAGAAGCTTTCTTATTTTTATGCTGCAAGCGTTGATTTAGATCTCTCTGACAGGCATCTCCAAGAGTCAATATTGATGACAACTTAGTAGCAAAACTGGCAGAAACACTGAACCATGAGGATCCAACACCTGAAATCTTTGATGACATTCAGAGGAAGGTATACTCTTTTCATCCTCTATTTCATAAGAACTGTTAAGGCTATGGAGTATTAAATGTCACTACAACCATTGAAAAAAGCAGAAGGAACTCAAATACGTGAAACCTAAAACCTGTTTTACCATTTTCCTATTCTATAAAAATGATATTCTAAATTGCCAACTTCTGCTTAGCCATACGTAGCCCATGGTTTTCAAAGCAATAGAGAAAGAGTAGGTGTCCTGGGTGAAATTAATTATGAAGCACAATTTAGAATTAATGGGATTATTATTTGTGGTTATGCACCAATTTAAGGAAGTGTGCTAGTGTAGTATAACTAAGAAGTACAATTTTGGTCAGGTTTTAGCTCTCTTTTTCAAAGGTGAATATAAGCATGTTACCATATTAAATTCTATATAACTTTCCAGAAGTTAATTTGACTGTTCTGTTTGTGCAAGCCTGTACAGTGTAGCACTCAGAAGCAGCAAGTACTGAAGATAAAAGTCTTTTTACTGTCTGCATACGTAGACTTTATCGCTCAAGTCTAATATATATATATATAA